TCCCGAGCCCACTGCCCTATCGTACGCATCCTATTTTGTAACTTAACGTACTGGACGGCTCCCAGCGCCGTCGAGGTCTGCTCCTCCCACCCTTCCCGCACTAGGTCCAGTATCCCCCGGGGGCGTCGCCCATACATTAGTTCAAAGAGGGAATATCCTACTGAGGCCTGGGGTACCTCCCGTATGGCGAAGAGCAGGAGTGGTAACAGCTTGTCCCAATCCCGCGGGTCGTCTTGTGCCAGTCTTCGCAGCATCGCTTTTAGAGTTTGGTTGAAGCGTTCGACTAATCCGTCCGTCTGGGGATGATATACTGAGGTCCGGATCTTCTTGACCTTTAACCACTTACACAATTCCGTCATCAGGCGGGACACCAAATTTGGGCCCTGATTGGTCAGAATCTCCTTGGGGAGGCCGACCCGGGCAAACATTTTCATAAGTTCGTCGGCCACTACTGAGGCGGTGGTTTTGCGGAGGGTCACGGCCTCGGGATAGCGCGTAGCGTAATCCACCACCACTAAGATGTACTGGTGCCCCCTTCGCGTTCGTTCCAATGGCCCCACGAGGTCTATCCCTACCCATTCAAAGGGCTCCTCGACTAGCGGTAGGGGCACTAGCGCAGCCTGGGGTACCCTTGCATCTGCCATCCGCTGGCACTGTGGGCAGGAGCTGCAGTAATTCTTAATATCCTGGTATACCCCCAGCCAATAAAATCGTTGAAGCACGTGCTGCTGGGTTTTCTCTATTCCCAAGTGCCCAGCCCAAGGGTTGTCGTGCACCAGTTCCATGACCCGCCACCTATAGGCCTTAGGTACGACCAACTGGATCTCCTCTCTTCCCCGTTCAGTACCCCGCTGAACGCGATAGAGTTTATTGCCCTGGATGTCGAAATAGGGCCCTTGCACGGGTCTCTCACCTGCTCCGTCCGTCTCCTCCGAGGGCTCCTGTGCACTTTCCCATGAATGCTGGAGCGTTGGGTCCTCTCGTTGTAGAACTAGGAAATCCCCCGCATCTAGATCCAGAGCCGTCACAGGCCTCTGCGGCCTTGTCTCTCCTTTCTCCTGTTCGGGTGGGCATCCCCTCTCCTCTTCTTGGGCTACCCAGACAGCTTTGACCCCGTCTTGATGGGCGTGCCCCCCCCCCCCCCTCGGAGCTGCTCAAGGCCCAGCAAACACTAATCCATACCTGACGACCGCTGCGTGTCCCCGCTCTCAGGATGTCCTTCCTTACAAGCGTCTGCCCGCACCCCGAGTCTAGCACCGCCTCAACTAGTCTCCCATCCAAGCGTACCATCCGCGTGATTCTGGCTCTGCTTATCTCCGGTCATGGGGCTCTCCGCGGGGTAGGCTGTTCGTCTGCCCGCACCCCGAGTCTAGCACCGCCTCAACTAGTCTCCCATCCAAGCGTACCATCCGCGTGATTCTGGCTCTGCTTATCTCCGGTCATGGGGCTCTCCGCGGGGTAGGCTGTCCGTACGTACAGTCCATCATGGGCCACAGTGATAACACGTTAACCTCAAGGTGGTTGCGGGTTTGACTTCTGGTTGTTTCTCCTCGCCACTGCGGGCCTCATCCTTCTCCTGTCTCTCCGGGCTGCGCCACTACAAAGCACTTATTTCGAAACCGAGCACTCTCCCTCCGACTTTCCTTATTTCTCATACAATGAGGATTACAGGAGTTGGAGTAAGAAGTCCTCCAGCTTGACAGTGTTTTGACACTATTTCAAAATAACTGCCTCCTCTGTAGACATTACTAAGTTATTTTGAAACTTTAGCATTTTCATATATATCGTAGCCCAATGTCCGTGACTCTGTAACGCTGGAATGCTGGCATTTGCCTCTGGGAGGCGCTGTTGCCCGAGTCACGTCCTTCACCTCCCGCCATGGCACTCGGCTGACTTCTGCACCGCTCAGCCGGGCTGCCGTGGGGGAGCAAGCAGCGCAAGCTTGGGCGCCACGGTCCCTACGCAGCACCCATGTTTCACGAGGCGTAAGGGATGGGTTGGCAAAGCTTCCCCAGCCGACAGAGCCGCGTCTAGACTGCCGCGCTGTGCCGGGTCAGCTGATTGCCGGCACACCATGGCGGCCATGTTTATTGTAATGAAGCAGGGATTATTTAAATCCCCGCTTCGTTGCCTGTGCTGGGTAAACTAGGTTACATGGCTCCGTCGAGGGAGTCATGTAGTCTAGACATACCCATAGTGCAGGGGTGGTCAATATGCAGCTGCATGGGTGAAAGTGCTGATTTATTATTTGTGCTTTTGATTCTTTGTATATGTGACTATGATATTTGTTAGTAACTGGTGGGTGTCACCTCAGTATTGGTGCACAAAGCAAAACTCACTCCGCTCACAGATGGTAAATCTTAGCAGGAACACTGATCAAAATATTCGCTCGAAGCTTTTCTCTCTATTTGCAAACTATCCCCCTTCACAAGCAACTTCCAGGTGATGCTGTGAGCGCTAACGTCTCCGTCTCTTACAGGTTGGCTCTCTGCATTGAAAGCCCGGATACGTCCACTGAGCCTGGGTTTCAACTTCATTTGTATCATCGTCATCACCATCCTCATCGTCCTTATCACCCGCCCAGGTGAGTGTGGAGCCTGCACTGACCATATCTCTGCGCCTGGTGCTCAGGGTCTCCCTGGTAGCATCTGCGCCTGCAGGGGGCAAAACTGGGCTGTAGCAAAGGAGCCCAGGGCAGGAAATGTGGCTCCAACCCAGAGCATGTGGGGGTAGGAGGTGAGGGGGGCAGCGCTGGCCTCTCCCTGTTGAAAGGGGAACATGCCTTGGTACAGGCTCAGCTAACCCTGGAGCAGAGCGTGTGTGTGCGGAGGGGAGAGGGTCGGTTCCTTGTTACAGTGTCACTAGAGACGTGTTCTCTTGGGTACAGAGGGAAACGGGCAAATCTCTCACCCTGCTGCTTTCTCATTTCCAGCCAAGACATATGAGCTGTGCCCGGCTGGTGCTCCCTGCCTGCTGGCCGCCTGCCCCTTCGACTGGATCGGGTACCAGGGGAAGTGTTACTATTTCTCAGAGCTAGAAGCCAACTGGACCGAGAGCCAGAAGAACTGCTCTGCCCTCGGTGCTTCCCTGGCTGGGATTGATTTGCAGTGGGAAATGGTGAGAGAGATTCTGGGCTGCAGGGGATGGGGGTGCCAGAGGTGGCTCTAGTCTGGGCTTGTCCTGGGGCTGGACTGGTCCCAGAAGCTGCTTGAATTCAGGGCAACTTCCCCAGCCCAGAACAGCTGGAGCTCTCAGTGCTCCGCCCACACCCATCCTCCCAAGACAGTAGCGTAAAGAATCGATGGCCCATTTGATATCTAGGGCCTCTTTTTCTGTCATGGCATAATTTTTCTCGTGGGGGAATAGCTTTCTGCTCAGGAACACCACCGGGTGTTCTACCCCACCCTCCTCCGGTGCCAATACTGCCCCGAGGCCTACCTCTGATGCATCTGTTTGCAACACAAACGGTTTTTCGAAATCGGGTGGCTGGAGCACCGGCCCCGACATCAGAACCTCGCGTAACGTTTCGAATGCTCGCACCTCTTGGGGGGTCCACACTACCTGTTGGGGTTGATTCTTTTTTGTAAGGTCCGTCAAGGGGGCAGCCAACGAGGCGAAGTGCGCTATCAAGCACCGATAGTACCCAGCCAGACCTAAGAACTGGCGTATCTGCCTCTTTGTCCGGGGCCGCGGGTAATCCCGGATTGCTTGTACCTTGTCTAGTAGTGGCTTCAACTGCACATTCCCCACCGTGTATCCTAAATACGATATTTCTCGCTGACCAAACTGGCATTTCTTTGGGTTGGCAGTCAGTCCTGCCTGCTGAATTGTATGCAATACGGCCTTGAGATGTCAGAGGTGGTCGTCCCAGGACCTGCTAAAAATAACTATATCATTGATATAACTATATCATAACTATATCATCCTGTAGCCCTGATGGGACTCCAAAACCTGATCCATTAGTCGTTGGAAGGTGGCGGCTGCGCCGTGGAGCCCGAACGGCATGGTGATGAATTGATACAGGCCAAATGGGGTGGCAAATGCTGTCTTCTCCTTCGCCGCGGTAGCTAATGGTATCTGCCAATACCCTTTTGTCAAATCAATCGTCGATAGGTATTTGGGCTGTCCGAGCCGCTCTAGGAGTTCGTCAACTCTGGGCATGGGATACGCGTCGAATTTCGACACCGTGTTTACCTTGTGAAAGTCAATGCAAAAGCGAACAGACCCGTCTTTCTTGGGGACCTACACAATCGGGCTGCGCCAGTCACTCCGAGATTTCTCTACTATCCCCCACCGAATCATGTCCTGAAGTTCCCGCCGGACAGTTTCCCACATTTTTCGGGGTATGGGGTGCACAGGATCCATTACCTTCTGCCCAGGGGCTGTGGTGATCTCGTGGCAGGCGAGATTCATCCTCCCCGGTCTGCTCGTCAGGCTG